GTTGTTGTTGTTGTTATTTTAATAGCTAAGAATGCAATCAAAATAAAATTTCTCTTGGGTAGCGTAGGTGCTGAGTAATAGCCATACACCTAGAGTATTTGAATGTAAATACAGACTTTAGATACCCTACAACATTCAGTCATTCCAGGATACATGAGTATTACACAACACACACACATACACACCCTTTTTCCTATTAACAAATTAAAGAGACATCTAATATTTGCTTAACCTTTTAAACTGCCTCAGTAAAAACTAAAATCAGAATCACTGGGTGTTACCTTTTGACTATTATTTTTTCACATATAAGTCACAGTCTTTACATATTTCTCATGAAAAAAGAACATTCTAAATGCTCAGTCCTTTAGGGCTGCCAGAGGCAGCCTATGAACAAACTCTCCAGGGGTTTTTGTTTGTTTGTTTGTTTTGTTTTGTTTTTAAGGAATATACACAAAAGTTCTAAAGATTGTACATCGATTAATCTGCAAGTCCAAGAAGAACTTGGTTTTGTTTTGTTTGGTTTTGGTTTTGGTTTTTTGAGATAGGGTCTCACTATGTAGTTGGTCTCAACTCACAGCGATCCTCCTGCCTCAGCCTCCCGAGTGCTGGGATTACACGCCTGCACCACCAAGCCCAGCCTGGTTTTGTTTTTATTTGGTATATCTCATCTTATATCTTCCAAAGTCCAATGTCAGTTGCAGAAATCTTCTCAAAGTGTTCATATTTCAATAATAAATTTATGAGCTTTCATCAAGTGAAAAACTTCTATGACTCATATTCCATTACCAAACTCTTCCTGTATCCTCCAACATAAAATTGTCACAAATACATAGTACCTAGTCCTTTGATGTATAAACAGTCTTTGCCTCAGCATATCCGTAAGCACCAAGAGAAGCCACACATCTTCCCTGGCTTTTAGCATTCATCCTTTATACTTAGCAACAACATGAGTTTTCTTCTGTTGAGCAGATAGTTTGCTATTCCAGTTTATGTAGCAAAAATGAAAACTAATAAAGCTATAATATTAATTAAAATATTTATGAAATGACTCTTGGGGGCTCACATGCATTATTTCTGGTATTGCTGTATGTCAGTTTCTCAAGGAAACTTCTCATTGAATTTCATTCAGAGAAGCTCCCATACATATTTTAATAAATTGTTTCCCACATAAACAGATTTTTCAAGAGGAAAAGACTACAGATTTCTCTATACCCTTGTTTCATATTGTATTATTTTTTCAGTATGTTTTAATTTATTCTAACCAACTTTGGTTTTTATTTTCAAACAATAAGTAATACAATTTAAAATCATTCTATCCAGTTTTGTACTTCCTTAATATAACTGGTGAATTTTAAATTCACAGTGTGCTAATGATATAATTAATATATTATTCAAATATACAATACAAAGGTAAAAATAAAATTTTAAAATTCAAATAATGTAGGAAATCCTGAAATAGACAATTCTAACCATAGTTAATCAACAGAATGGAAATTGTGCTAATTCCTTAAGTTTCCTTGAATAAAATACTGTTTAAGTATACAATTCTGTGTCACTTAACAGCAGGGTGAGGTCTAAGAAATGTTTCATTAGCCAGTTGTATCATCACATGAGTATCATGTAGTACGCTCACACAAACTAAAATGCCTACAATATCACTAATGATTTAATCTTATGGTACCATAAGTACCAAAGACAAAAGATTAAACCAAAGTTTATGCAGTCTGTTGGAAACCAAAATGTCATTATTTACTGCATGCGTTTAAAATGTTTTCATTAGCAGTTATGTGACTCTTTTCATTTTATAGAGAAAAGAGTAAGTTTTCACACAATACTATAGACACTGCTCCTATTCACTTTTTCCTAACACCATGTTTCACATTGATATACACATACTTCACATAACATAAAATTACACATCTGAAAACTATGTCAGTGGTTGTTAGTATGTTGAGTATGTTATATGACCATCACTACTGTCTAATACCAGAACATTTTTGTCACTGCCAGCTATAACTAACTGCTATACCTAGCAGTTAGTTCTGATACCCCACTTCCTCTATTCCCTGGCTACCATTAATCTGTTTTCTTTTCTTATGCATTTATCCCTTCTAGACATTTCATATAGATGGAAACATTTTCTGCTCATTTAGGAGAAGTAGGAAATTCAGTTTTTAGTTAGAGATGCCTGATTTACAAAACTGATAGAGGTACAGGCTTTGTGTCTTTATTCTCATTTATTACCTAGCCAGTGCTGGCACCCAGCAAACTCTTATCTCACAGATGAATTCAGGATGTACGGAGCTACTGATTTTCTTAGTCCTCCTAGCAGCCAGACATAGTTAAGGGCAGCTGATATCCTTGGCATCTCCAGTTTTAAGCAGCTTCTTTTGTTGTTTTATCGTATCCTACAAGTTTTATGTTCAATACACATCACAGTATGGAAACTAATTGTTTCCCAAAAATGTTTGTTTTTGGTTGTTAATGCAACTTAGGACAGTGTATATCTAGCATAGATAAGCTGTGCGTTTGATCTTTAGCACTGTAAAGAAAGTGCAACTATTATTCTGAGTATAAGTTGAAAGATTCTGAGACTGTATCCTAGGTCAGTGAGGCGTCATAGGATATATTTCCCCTTTCTGGACTAGATATACTTGGTATTCAGAGCCTCATATGATCTCATTGTCTAAATCCTGAGGCAGAGGTGGTGATAATTTATTGTTGGTTCTATGTAAGTCTGGTATTGTTGCAGTTTAAAGAACATCCACAATTGAAACAGAGGCTTTACATGATTAGATAACATTCTTTTGATATATTCACCATTTTATAGCTCTGTATTCAGAAGTTCTTTTATTATTCTGTACACACAAGATTCTTGGCTCCAGAGAACTTCTTGGTACTGAGAAAACAATTGCTATAAAATAATAAAAATAATCAAAATAATAAAAATGAACTAGAAAAATAGTTTTATCACTGTGCCGTACAGATATGAAGAATAATCATCACATATATGAGGTAGTTTTTTTTCTTTTTATATCAGATATTTATATAAATAAATAGACTAGGAAAATATGCTGAACAACAAAGAAAGTTAACAAGGAAGCTTTTCTGCCCAGGCCTAGACCAGTGGTAAATCTATGGCATGCATGCCACAGCAGGTTTTTTGTTATCATTGAAAGCTCTAAAAGGTTCACCATCTCTGGCCTACACATTAGAAAGGAAGGAAAGGTGTGGGGGGGTGCTGTCTCTGAAAATGTATAAGCACAGGCCCACATTCATGTGGATTTGACATTATGGCAAGATTGACTGGGAACCTGTAAGCTAAGTAACATACATACTAGTTTCTAAAGTGCTTGGCAAATGTAAGCAGAAAACACTCTGAAGAGAGGCACTCTTGGCTCACACCACATGATTTCATCAGATTAAGCCCTGAACTCACAATCTCAAATTACAAAACACACAAAGAAACAATTTACCAAGAGAAACAGTCAAGAAACAAAAGAAATGGCAAGATTATATCTGTAAAAGCTTCAAAATAATGGATTTATCAGATGAAGACTATATAAAATAAATGTTTAAATTACTAACTTAAATCTTTATATCAGATACATAGGCACATAAAGAAATATAATTATTGGAACTAAAAATTCATGGAGGATTGAACATTGGATGAGAGAAAAAGTGAACTGGGTGAGAAATGTGAGGGAATTATCTATGTTGTAACACAGAAGAAATAAAGATCTGTAAAAATATGAAGGAGAGGTTAGGAAGTACAACAAATGGATAGTTCCTTATACGCTGTCTAGTAAGATTTTCTAAATAAGAGGCTATCAAAGAAAGAATAGTTGATAATTCTTCAGAACTCATGAAACACATGAATCTTTGGACTTTGGAAATACAAGGAGTCTGAAAGAAGATAAATTAAAATAAATCTACACCTAGACACATCAGAGTAAAATTGCTTGAAGCCAGGAGTCAATCCTAACAGCAACTACATACGTAAGATACAAAGAAGCGATATGAAGCTGATGTAGTCAAAGCATTGAGACAGAATAACTGACAAGTAGAATTCTCTATCCATCTAAACTGTTATTTAAATATGGAGCTGAAATAGAGACATTTACTGTTAACAGAACCTTGCTGAATAAACCACTAAAGGATGTTCCATAATGAAAGGGAAATTAACACAGAAGTAGTGATGATATGGGAGCGGGAGCATAACAAATGAAATCAACATTTCTGCAATTTATTTCCTTTTCCTTGGGTATGGAGTATAGATAAGATCTGCTTTTTTAACATTATATTTTTGTAAGGCTCTACATGTATTAGTTCCAGTTGACCATTGTCTTAGTTAATTTTCTTGTTGGGACAAAATACCCAATACCCATAAGTTAAGGAAGGAAAAATTTATTTAGCTTACAGTTTGTAAAGGTTTCAGTTCATACTCAGCTGGCTCTGAGACAAGGTAAATGATGGACATTGTAGAGGAGAAACAGTTTATGGCGGGCAGAAGGTCGCAAAGCAAGTAAGGGAGAGACAAGCCTCTTTCTCTCCCTTATATTGTATACAGGGTACCAGGATTTGGGCAGTGCCAAACCAATCCGTAGACTGATTTAGTAATCACCCACCCTTAATCCTAGTGCCCTTAATCTTAGCAGTGCACCATGAATCAGTCACACATTCTAGATTCAGCCACATCTGCAAAAGCCCTGCCTGTGACCTCATAAGTCTCTCCGTGGGCATCTAGATACAAACCATAACAACTTTGATCTTATATATATATATATATATATATATAAATTTTTTAATACTTAAAAAATTTTTTATTTCAATCCAGATAAAATAGGCCAAAAGATTGACAGTCATTGTTTCCAAATTGTAGGTTTCATTGGTTTGGGTTCATTTAGGAAAAACATAGTTTTCAATATGTGTTCTATTATTTTTAGTTGGAACTAAATTATTTTTGAAAGATATTTAACAAAAATTCTTCTTTCGTTTAGATCGAATCCTTTTTATGAACCTAAACCAACTCTTCCTGTAAATAATTTGGCAAATTCACTTCAAGAATTGGAAACTGAAAGAAAAGTGAAAAGAAGGGCCCCAGCTCCACCAGTTCTCTCACCAAAGACAGGAGGAATAAAAGAAAACACAGTTGTTTCTGCGGGAAGAGATCTATCCACTTCTCCTAAGGTAGGATTTTATTCTTAACGAATCATGTATTAATGTTTGCTCTTTTTCCTCCATGAAACTGAATTAAAATTTATAAAAGTTATTATTAGCTATTTGGTAATTTAAAAGTAAAATCTATTAAACTGTGACACTGAATAAATTTGTGAGCCATAAATTTATAATACAGTATAGATTAGTTGGATTGATTTATATTTTTGTTTGTTTTTTGAGATGAATCTTGCTGTGTTATCCAGGCTGTTCTCAAACTTGTGGAGTCAGTCATATGCTTCTGCCTCAGCCTTCCAAATGCAGGAACCACAGGTGTGCACCATAGTACCCAGCTTGTTAATTTGATTTTGGTGCTTGGGACTGAGTCCAGGCCCTTAAGTATGCTAAGCGCATACTCTACCACTGAGATAGAGCCCCAAGATTTATTTTTAAAATGATGTTTTCCAGTGAGAAAGAAAGGTATAATTATTGATTGGTGCTCTTCAGTCACTCAGTATGTAAATAAATAAGTAAATAAGGGGTGAGGAGAAAGAAAGGAAGAGAAAAGAGAAAAGTAAAGGGGTATTCTGATACAGGTAAGCATGAGGGATAGCTTATATGAATTTAGAGGAAAGAGCAATGATCATCTTTTGACAAACATTAAGATTAAGGGTGAGTGCAGAGAAATGCTTCATTGAAGACTTTCAATACTGCCATCTTAAAATATTACTAAGACAAGGTGTAAAATGGTTGTATATGACATTATATTTTTTATGTGTAAGGTAGAAATGTGAGTTGTAGCACATTTTTTCAAGTAAATAACTTTTGACCAGGGTGTATTGTTGTTATTAATATATTAGACTATTTAATTCTCACAGGCAGTTTTGCCAAAAATAGGATATATTTGATCTCAGAAGGATAAAGGAAGGGTGCTAGTAGAGACAGGATTGGAACCTGCCATTTTCATTAATTATGTGCAGGTGGAACCATACTCCACCTGAGGAGCCTAGTCTGCTGTTTTTTTCTTCGGGGCATCACAGTTCAGTAGTTTCTCTTGCATAGAATGTTTTTTAGTTTATTCTGTGGATTTTGTTAAATGTCAGCGTTCTGAATTAGCTGATTTTATTTGTTTGCCTGTATTTGGGGTATTTTAAAGGGAAAATGAGTTCATTGAGGTCTCAATCTGTCATTCCAAAGGTCAGTCCTGTATGTGTTTGTTTGTTTTTAATTCTATGACTTCAGGGTTAAAAGATGAATTTGGTCTTGTGGTTGCTGAGAGAAAGGGGGAGAGCTTCCAAATGAAAGGAGCAAATGTAGAAATATAAAGGAAATGAGACGGCTAATTCTAATACCAATAAAAGCAAAACTAAAAACAGTTGGGTACTAACCAGAATCAAGAAACTGTCCTTTAACCATTTTGACCATAAGAAAAACCTATACTGCTTCCTTGTCTTCCCGAATTTCTAGTTCATTTTTGCATAACTCCCTGCCCTATTCTTCTTCTCCAACCCATGAGAGGCTGGAAGCTGATCAAAAATTCCTTTGTAGAAGGCTGGACAGGAACTTAACATTACCTACTGTGTGCCCAATTAACCCATTTGAGTCACAGAGTAACCTGAGAAATACAAACCATCGTCTCCATTTTACATATGCAAAACCTGAATGTTAGTATTTTGCTTAAAGTGAAAGATTATAATAATGATAGAGCCAGGAATAAAACTAAAGTCTTTCATATACAAAACCCATATTTTTTTCCATGGCGCTATATTATTCAGAAGAAAAATTTCTTGCTGGCAATTTAACTCAGTGGTTCCGCAAACCTGCCTCGCAAGCACAAGGTCCTCAATTTGATCCCTGGTAACTCCCCCCAAAAAATATTAACAATAGGAAGAAGAGGTATTTCTCCAAGTTGCAACTCTACATATTTTTTCCCATAGAAACATTATTTATGTGGCGATTTTTTTTTTAGTGAAGTACATAATACCTATGTAAATAACTACTTTTTACAGTATTTTGAAGCTAATGTTCCATTGCAAATACATTATGGAATAAATGATTTTTCTGGGAAAATGGACCATTTTACCTCCTTGCTTCTTTTGGAAAATATCTTCTTACACAAGACACAGTGGAAACACATCATATCCATATTAACTACTTGCTGACTTGGAAGTTAACTGGACAGCCTATCAAGTTAAGCAAAACTGAAAAATTAATTTTAAAGAAGTGTGTAAGACATGCACTGTGGTGTATGCCTACAGTCCCAGCTACTTGGCAGATGGAGGCAGGTGGATTGCTTGAGCCCAGTAGTTTGAGGCAACACAATGAGATTGTCTCTTAATTAAAGCAAGATATTTTACTTATACATAATTAAATGAAAAAAGTGTAAAACGATATAGTATGGTCCCTTTCATTTATTTTTTTTGTAAATCCACATGTATACACATTTGCACTTAAACATGCATGTAAACATTGAAGAAGAATCAAAAGTAATTTAATAAAGATTGCCTTTGAGGAGAAGGGTCTTGGTAAGGATGGAGGTTATCCAGAACATTGAAGAACTGCATTATTTTAATTTTTTACCGTTTTATGTATTATTTCTATTTATTGTTTGAATTTTTCAAACCTTATATGCTATTCTTCTGTTTTCATTATACTTATTCAGGTACGTAATGAGATTGTAGAATTTTTATATTTTACTGCATATTAATTATACAGATTAGTGGGTTTCATTTTTGGCGCATTTGTATATACACATAACAAACTTTGATCATTTCTGTGCCCCCCATCTACTATTTTGCTCTGTTCTCTTCCCTAGCTTCACATTGTGAGGGGGGGTCGGTGTATACAATATATTTTGATCATATCTATTCCCCATTATACATACTTATAACTCCCTTCACCTCCCCTTACTACTTTCTTCTTTTCTAATATACTCTCCCTCTTCCTTTTTGTCCTTTTTTTAAGATTTCACATATTAGGGAAAACATGATATTTATCATTCCGGGACTGGCAAATTGATGAAATTTAGATCTGCATGGCTAAAAAATATACTCCCACTTATATATATGGGAGTATTATATATTATACTATATGTCTTTATCTGTTCATCTGTTTATGGGTACTTGGGTTGGCTATTGTGCCACAATAATAATGGGTATGCAGGTTTCCCTATAGTGTGCTGACTTAATTCCTTCAGATACTTACCAAAGAATAGTATAGATAGATTAAATGGTAAATCTCTTTTTAGTTTTTTGAAGACCCTCCATATTGATTTCCATAGTGGATATACTAATTTACAATCCAACCAACAGTGTAGAAGGGTTCCTTTTTCCTCTTATCTGCCTTTGTTTGTCATATGTGACCTTTACTATATTTGAGGAATACCTAGTTTCTTACTGTGAAAGGATATTGAATTTTGTTGAAGGCTTTTTCTATGTCAATTGAAATGATCATGTGATTTTTTTCTTTGATTTATTTATGTAATGTATTACTTTTATTGATTTGCCCATCTTAAACCATCCTTGCATCTCTGGAATGAAACCAACTTGTTCATGGTGTAAGGTCTTAATATGTTGATGAATTTGATTTGAATATTTTAGTAAGGATTTTTGCATCTGTGTTCATCAGGATATTGGTCTATAGCTTTATCGTTTTTGTTGTCGCTTTGTCTGGTATTGAGTTTGGAAGCACTCTTTGCTCTTCTATGTAACAGAATAGCTTGAGAAGCATTGGTGTTCTGTAATGGTCTGAAAAAGTTAATCAGTGATTTTGTCTAGTCCTGAGCTTTTCTTTGTTGGGAGACTTTTTATTACTACTTTAATCTCATTGTTTGTTATTGATCTTTTACACTTTTTGTATCCTTGTTTCAGTTTTGGTCAGGTATATGTGCCTAAAATTCTACCCATTTGTTGCAGATCCTTACATTCATTAGAATATAGGTTTTCAAGAGCCAGGCGTGATGGTGCACACCTGTAATCCCAGCTCTTGGGAGGCTGAGGCAGGAGGATCGCTGTGAGTTCAAGACCAGCCTGTCTACATAGTGAGTTCCAGGTCAGTCTCAACTACATAGTGAGACCCTGTCTCAAAAACCA